TTACCTTTTCGTGTATTATTTTTTTTTTTTCCCCCAAAACCCCGGGGGGGGGGCGCCCCCCCTGCCCCCCCCCCCCCCCCCCCCCGGAGGCTACGGCCCTGCTAGCTATGTTTTAAAGGCGAAAACACCTGTCTAAATGTATATAAATCACATATAACCCATCCCTTCTCACATTTCAGATATCACCGACAACTTTAACCATTATAGGAAGATCTTCTCCATGCCAGGCGTGGTTTGGCCTCAACAAGATCTCTGGTATAGTTTTGACATAGGCAGGGCGCACATAATAAGGTAAGGTACATGTACCCAGTGGATGCCTGGTGCACAGTGTGGGAATTTCGCTAGAAAATCTCATTTTTCCTGATCTTGCAGCAGTGAATGACATTTGTCTTTGACTAACCAAGCTTTGGCTTCATTTTTTCTGGTGCTCGCCATAACTCTGTAACAATCTAAAAAAATTCAAATGTGCGTATTCCACGCTATCGCTTAAGCAATTTTTTTTTCAAATCCCGCAATCCATACGAGCTCATTTATTGCACTTCCTTTGGCAGGGTTCGTCAGGAGGTCGTAAATTAGATTATTTTTGCGACATTAATTCATGGTATAAATATGTTGAAATATGATAAAAAGTATTATTTGTCTTAATAAGATTAACAAAAAGTGGTACATGTATTTAACGCGTCTTTATAGTCCTGCACTTTGTCACTCCAACTTTGTAACATGTTACTGATATTATATAGACACAGGATAGCATGCAGAAACTGGGTCTTCTTTGTTACAGGTTTCTCTTATTATTACTATTTTATTATTATTATTATTAAGTAGCTGAGCAATCACATTTTGCACACACACACACACATGCACACGCACACACGCACACATACACACACGCTATGCTCGTACGCACACTAACAAGCGCGTGCTCATACTTTTCATTTTCTCAGAATTATGAATAGGTAGCCGCACCCTTAACTGCTCCCAATATCTGTTAGACAGAACTTTTGTCATGAAATACCATATTTTATTATGCCATATTTATTTATTTGTTTGTTTGTTTGTTTGTCTGGTGTTTTGATCGAAAGCATTAGGTTCAGTATTTCTCAGGAAAGAAAACGTTTGCAGAACAACTGTTTCACGATATACGTCTCTCTTCATCTCGATTTTCAGTATCTCATCGGAAGTTTACTTTCTATCCAACCAATACTTGGCACAACAACAATATAGCTGGCTTATCCAAGACCTACAGACGGCTAACAACCAGAAGCAGCGAAGTGACCGTCCGTGGATTATCGTGATGCTAAACCAACCGCTTTATTGTTCAGGGACCCCCTCCTGTTACGCCAACTCCGCTGTTCTTAGGGACGAGTAAGTAGTAGTAGTAGTAGCAGTAGAAGCAGTAGAAGCAGTTGCAGTAGCAGTAGTAGTAGTACTAGTAGTAGTAGAAATAGTAGTAATAGTGACTGACAAAAAGAAGACAAAACTGATTTCCTGTGCAGTTCATTTTTGATTGGGAACTTTAGTGGAATCTGTTCTAGAGGCACGCGCCACGCACGTACACACACACGCACACATATACACGCATTACGGTATTTTTTTGCAATGTCTTATATTTTTTTAATTTAGAAATTAGATTGTTTTTTAATATGAGCAGAACTATGAATGGTAGTATATGCTCACGGTGGGCATGAGGGAGATATTTATTATTGATTTCATACCTGTTATAATTTTTTTTGGCAAACCAAGGCAATATTAGTATGTGTAAATGGCTGTATCTCTCCAGTCCCATCTCGACTGCCTAACTTGCTGACAATGTGCTAAAGGAAAACGGCGTCCTTTTTAAATTTTGCTCATCCGCATACAACTCAGAAAAAAACTCTAGATATCTCTGTTATACACAGGTATAGTAAGAATGGTAGTCTTTGGAATGGAAGGCCGGGCTCCCATATGATTAGTACAGGTTAGGGTTAGTAATTGGGACAATTGTCACCTGTACAAAGTAATGGGGAACGGACTAGGGTTCTTGGGGGGTATCCATTCCTGTCACCCCGGCAATTCGTCCTCTGTGCCCGTGTACATGTGTTCTAATATTGTTTGCAGACTTGAAGAGTTGATGCATACACAGGGTGTGGATCTCGTTCTCACGGCTCAAGATAACCTCTTCCAGCGAACCTGGCCCGTTTATAAAGGGAAAGTGAAGACAGAAAGTTACTTGGATCCCGCGGGAACTGTGTATATCAATACTGGGGCGCTGACTTGTGATAATGTATCGACGTCAACAGAACTTTGTCAAGGTATTGATATCTACTTTTCCACATCTCCACCCTCTCTCTCTCTCTCTCTCTCTCTCTCTCTCTGCTCAATTTGCCTTTAGAAAATGATATGTAATTTCAAGAAATGGCTATAGCCTTGTATAAAACGAAAAATGGGATTTGAATTTCAGTTTGCAAAATAGATTGATCGTTTTAGATTATTATATTTTAAAAATTACAAATGCTTTAGTTAATCGGTTTTTATGCTTAACAATTTTTTTCTATTTTCTGTTTCTTATGCAGAAACATGGTGTGCCAAGAAAATTCCACTTAACGGCGCTCCCAGCTTCGGCATTTTATCCATCCACAACAAGACGCATCTGTTGTACGAGGAAAGAGATGCCGCGTCACGTGATCTTCTTGACAGCACATGGTTGATCCAGCATCACCACGGTCCTTACGGTGCTCTCACGGGTCATCATCCGCTTGTGATATCAGTGGTAGTGGTGCTCACTCTGACGATAGCTTTTATCGCCTTCCTCTGTGTGTGGGGTAGGAAAGTGAAAAGGTATATGAAATATCAAAGAGACATGGCTGCTAATAAACGAAATGGAAACGCTTTCAATTTTACGTCTTTGGACGAGACGGAACTCGGCCCAGCAGAGGGCGTTGAAAACGATGGTCAAGACAGACCAAATTCACAGCTGCAACCGATTCCAGCTATATCTGAGGGCGTGGCGAATGGAGTAGTCCACAGCCAAAATAAGCACAAAACAAGGACGAAAACGAAAAATACATATATCGCATTAAGTGAACAACCGTGCGAGGAATGTTAATAGCATGAAAGTATGAGGTGCTCCGCCAAATGTACATATACTTGCAGAATTTGTTTTTTATATTTTTGTCTGTTTATTTGTTTGTTTGTTTGTTTGTTTGTTTGTTTTGCCTGCAGTCCATCTGCTGGGGTGAAAAAAACTACGGTAGTGATGCAGTGTTAAAACTGTGCTATATTTAACCATATCCAGGGAATTCACAAAATACTGTCAGACTTCGGTCGAACTGCAGACTTAATGTCCCTGCAATGCAGCATGCACGCTTAACTAGACGCCAGAATGGAGGGAATAATTTTTTTCATTGAGAATGCCTCTACTTAAAGGCCGCGCAAAGTCCAAAAGTTGTGGACAATTGAACAACGGGTGTAAAACTTTAAATTTGGTCATTTTGCTCAAGTGCTGCAGTTAGAGTTGGCGACTGTACTAACTAGAAGGGTCGTCGAAAAACTTTCACTGTTAAATTAAGAGAATAAGAGAGATTCTGTTCCCTGTGTTTCATCGTGATCTCATAAGAAAGACCTTGCGTGTCTGGTGGGTTGGTCCTAGTCCTCTCTCAATGCTTATTACTGAGATTAAGTAATTACCATTTTAAATCAAACATTTTTTAAATTTTTATAACATATAAAAAATTGATGTGATCTCGTTGTTGACTTTAATTTTTTTTCATATAATCTCATATGTAACTTGCTCATATTAAACGTATCTCATTATGAATCTGTTTGTGTTATTACAGCGGCGTTATGTCAGAAACACTGTCACTGAAGCCCATTTCACATCGAACGGTCCTGAGAGGTCCTAATATGATATTATGCTACAGTTGTCCATAACTTCGCTTCCTGCGGTTAAGTTAAAGGGCTAACAACTCTTAGTATGAGATTCATATTTCGCAATAAATGCATTGTAAACAACACATAGATGTATAAATAATTCTATTTTACCACCAAAAACGGCGGTTATCACAATTATTCTGGAATCTAGCTTGTCCTCCAAATCAAGTGACCTCCAAATCTCTAAAGAGATTATTACAGAAAAAAAACAACCTTTTTAGAAAAAAAAACATGTACCAACTTTTGAAGCCAGAACGCAATCATTCATTGCCCATTGTTTATTGTGGTGAAATTTTGTTTACCCCAGGAAAATCCATTTTTGGCCAAAATGAACAGTTGTTATCCAGTTAATTAATTGGCCGTTCCAAGCGTGGAGACTTAGGTGACTGTCTTACGTAATGGTTTAATAGATTAATCAACTGTCTATCTCTCAAAGTGGACCGGTCCAGTTAAACGTATCGCTGAATGTGAAAAGGACCTTTCAACACACGATGGAAGACGCCTTATGCAATTTATTTCGAAACGGGTAATAAATAAAATGGGAAATAAGTCAGTTCGATATATATAATAATACTTGTTAGTTTTTTTCAATGAATAAATCTTAAGTGATATTGCTTCGACGTAGTTTCTCTCACAAACGTTTGTAAAGTTTT